AAGTGCTAAGAAGTAGTAACAAGTAGAATGTTAGTGTAATTGGACTGGATTTCCAGGAGCTCACTAGTGTAACACTTTTTTAGGATAATCAGTAAATGACAATTTTGTGTATAAATATTGTAGTGACCCACAACCCCCTGTACCCATGACCTCTTCCCTTTTACCCCTGTTCACTCCTTTTCTCATTCTTCCCTACAGATTCCCTGTTCTTTCCTCTTTCCTCCTCTGCATCTAGTAGACTCCTGCCCTCATTCTCTCTGTCTTCCAAGCTATTTTACCTGCTCCATGACTACCAGACCCCACTGTTTTAAAAAGGGCAATAAGACTGTCAGTGAGCAGCCTGGAAAGTAATCTCCAGCATGTCATTCCCTATACCACCGATGCAGAACGAGTGGACCATTACAATATCATTGTCAATATTGTAATTGTATATACAGTATATAGTATATATACAGACTAAGGACCTGGTGTTAGAACAAAAGCAAAAGTGTTTAAAGGCACTCAGCATGGGTATTTAGAGTACAGAAAACATGTATAACGTGCAAACACTAGGCAGTACAACAAGCCCCCCCACCTCCCTTTATCTCCACGTGTTAACATGCTGCAGACTGCCGTGCTCGTTGTGCCAACACATTTTTTCCTCTGGTAACCTGGTACATTAGATCTACTTTTGATAATTTACTCTTCATTAGTAGAAGAACTGGAAATTTTGCTCCAGAAGGAAGAGTGCCACCTACTGGATCAACGATACCACTTGAAGGAGCACCCCAGCTTGCTGTGGAGGTCTCCCATCCCTGTACTGGTCCAACACTGCCTTGTTTAACTTCTGCTATGCGATAAGATACGGTTACAAGGTAGTAACAGTGCTGCCTAAATTCACTTACTGTATTTAGTGTATATATTTTATTTGGGCAACTCTTTTTATATACAGCAAGTGTTTAAATATCTTGACTTTGGCAGTGCACTTATTCATGCAGTTGCCACCTACCGATCCACCAATACCCTTGTCAGCAGCCACCTGATTTTCTCACCCAGTGCCACTCAGGCCTAACCATGCATAGCTTCTGAGACCTGATAAGATCAGGCTACAAGATGGTAAGACATTCTTTGACTGTTTGTGCTCAATGTCTGTGCATAGTTAAGATATAATCATGTTTCCATTTGTTACAACTGTGCTGGAAGTGTGCCAGACCAGCACTGACTAATAAAAAGCACCTCTGTGATCGTGCCAGGTTTGCCTGGTTATGGTCAGAGTTTGATTAATTAATTATGAAACACGTCCTGAACCTTAAGCTTTGTTTATCCTGACACATTACCTCAGAACACAAGGAGTTTTTCAGTGTGAGAGCAATGTGCCAACTGCAGCTTCCTTGAGATTTCTGAGAGTGATGCTGATAAACACACCTTTTTAATCTGGTTCATTTGAGTGTTATATCTGAGTTATTTGCAAATGTGCATAAACAGTGCTCAATTTATCACTAGTGTAACAGCCTAAATAGTACTGTATGAATTCAGACATTTTCTTGCAAAATCTCACCCCAATATAGAGAATTTTAATACTGAAGCCAATCTATATGTAACTTTAAAGCATGACCCTGTACAATACTCCGTTGCTTCAAAAAAATTGCTTTGCCTTAAAGATCCTCTGAAAAAACGGCCAGTCAGAACAATAAAGCATAAGAAGAACCATATAACAGCCCAATTCCAAATCATAATACAGTGCATGAAAACACAACTACTTAATGGAGTCATACAATCACACAATACTTGAAAATTTAAATAACTGTATTATACAAGACCAAATACATGACTCTGAATGTATTCTTGATTTGCAATGAGTTTAGTGTTTAAATGTTTATCTAGATTAAAGATTTTAGTGCTCTCCTAATTTCTCAATCACGGTAATTATACTGTCAAACATGTATTCCCTTAGACTTTGAAAGTTTCAATTACAATCCCAAATGGTAAATTTAATTCCTAAACATACTGTAATATTATTTTTAAGAAAAAGGAATAGTTTATTTTTGTTTTGAACAAAAGTAGCACCATATTGTATCAGCACCAGACAGCAAATAGCAAAACAGTTTTGATAAAATGATAAAAAGGTTTTATTTACATTAAATTACCATAAATTATTAATAAAGTAAGTTTTTATTGAACTTTACCATGAAGTGCTCTATGGTTTGGTTTTCAATTTAATTATTACCAGTAAGAATTACAAAATATGTGTAGTGTATAATGCTATTTCCATAAAAATTCAAAACCAAATATCAATTCCTTTTTCAGGTACAGTAATTAGCATCAAACGTCTGAGCATCATCTCCATTCTGTATTACTCATCTGTCTCTGCCTATAGAATCTGATGCTGCAGCATTTGCAAACATTATGACAAAGCAATTTGAAAGCTGACTTGATAGCTGCCTTATCATAAAACCCCAAGGCACTCCTGTACTGATGTTTTAAGTCATAAGTTACGTTGACTTTTAATTATTGTTATAATTAGTGGCATGGTATTTAGCATTGCTGCTTCACAGCTATTGGATTCAAGGTTTGATTCTGAACTGAGTCTTAATGTTTCCCAAAATCTGCATGGGATTTTGTCAGGTTCCTCCCACCATCCAAGGGCATGCTGGCTAAGTTATCTTAGCTCTCAGCTGTCCCTGTTACTGTATATGTGGACTGGTGTTCTATCCAGTATGTGGTCCTCTCTTGTCCCCTATGCTTCCAAGACTGTGGAATATTCCAAATGAGCAGCTTTGTGATAATGGATATTGTAGACAAAATAATGGATAGAAATCAAAAACACTATCATTCTCTCCAATATTACTTGAATCAGTAAATAAGGTTGCATAGCATTAAAAGTGAAAGGCAAATGAATAAAATGCATACACTGTATAGGATCTTTTAATATATTTGTTTATAGGAACTAATACTGTTCATGCACTTTCAGCACTATGTGATGTTCTGCAGGTGAACTGTAAAGTACATACTGTAGTTGCTAAACATACTGTTGCAAATGGCTCAGTACAATAGGCTTTAAATATTCTACTATTGTAATCAATACCAATGACACTGATCAAAACCAATGAAATGATGAAGGCCGTATTTTTTTTAAAGGACTGGAATTCATTCTGGGTTTCCCACCATACGCTATGATTTGTAAATCTTTATGAGCTTGTTTTGATTTGTTATGAAAGAAAGCTTCAAACACACTTAAATACTAAACTGAAAATCTTGGATGGAAAGCACTCAGTGAGCTAATTGGTATAGACAACATTGTGTAAAAATGGAGGAATAAAGAGCTGCATTAGTATGTCAGATTAAATTATTTTTGAGATATGCAGGGAAAGAGTTAATTAAAAAGCACAGAGAAAGCTGTGACCATGCTTCCCTTTGGCTGACAACAGCCCATTTGTTTTTTTTATCTTTTGTTTAGTACCATTGATCTTGCATGCTTTACCGGCCATCATACCGAAAGGCCAACTCATTTATTTCTTTACTGCAGGTACTGTAGTATATGTGTATCATAAAAGGCTGTTTCTTGTTTTCTTTTGTACTTTTTATATTTCCTATTATTCTCATTGTACATGTGCTTTTCAGCATTGCATTTTAAGTGTTGTCTTCATGTACAGTAATTGAAACCAGTTACTTTCTGTATATACATTGTAGACATTTTGCACTGGAGGAAAAGTAGCACTTGAGCAATTATTGTGTTCACTTGAATATTGTAGTGTTTACAGAAGAGACCAAAACACAGCTTTTGTAACATAGTATACCGGGGTTGTCAGTCACACATTCTTAAGCAAAAAATGATATTTTATGTTTGAATTTTTATTGTTAAGAAAGCATGATGTATTTTATATGCAGTATACAGCATATGAAACACTGTATCTTAACATTCTTAGTATTCGGAGAATAAAGCTGACTTCCCGAAAGCAAGACTCAGAGCTGTAGCTTCATAGTTTGGGTTTTTAGTGTCCTAGTGTCTTTAGAATAACATTCTTTAAATGCTAAATTGCATTTTCTAATCATTTCCCATTTTAATCTAGAATTCAAGAATTTTAGATGGCATTTAGGGACCAGAATTGATCATTTGTGGTCTGCAGTTTGTATTGTAACAAACACTCTGACTTACAATGTAGTAGGGCTTTTGTTACAAGAACATAACATTTATTTTTTATATGACACCTTACTGTAGATTACATTTACTTATTATTTCTCCTCCACATTTATTTTCAGAGAAATAGATTTCCTGCAAATGAACCTTTAGCGAAAGTTAAGAAATATTTCAGAAATCTGTTTCAATTCAGTTGTTTCAGTTTGCCAACGGCATGTCAATTAAGGCAACTACTTTTTACAATGAACTTAAAACTATAAAAAAGTAATAAAAAGTACCAAAAATACATTTTTCCACGGAGTGCAGGGACATAAAATTGTGTGTCACAATAAAACAAACCTGACTTGCACTACTTACTGTACATTTACAGAAATCTGTTTAACAATCCTAGCTTTTAGAGTTAAGTTTAACTTTTTTTAAGTCATTATTTTAGATAAACTATAATAATCAACCCTTAAAACAGATGATACACTGATATAAAGTACAGTATACAGAATTAATTGATCAAACCATTTAATTTAAAATATATCTGAACATATGAAATACATAAATATACTAAAACAACATACATTTGGCAAATGAAGTAGCTTTTATCTTATAGCTTTTTAGTAAAACAGCGACGACTTGTAGCTATCTGATTTCATTTCAGTTATTATTATCATTATTATTATCATTATTATCATTATTATAATCATTATTATCATTATTATAATCATTATTATTATCATTATTATTATTATTATTATTATTGTTGTTGTTGTTGCCTTCATATTTTTGTCACAAGAAATGAAACGGTCTGCTAAGCGTTCACTGGTACACTACGGTCTTTTTTTTCGAAGCAACGTTGATATAAGTATTAAACAGTATTTAAAAGAGTTCTTACCTGTCAACAGCAATGGCAGTCATGGAATAGATGCTGGCAAAGACAGAGGTGATGGGGAAGAAGTTGTGAAACTTGCAGTAATGCTGTCCAAAGTACCACTCGTTATGAATAGCATAAATAAAGTTAATGAGGGTGTTGAATGCGGCCATTGAAACATCGGAAAAAGCCAGGTTCACTAAAAAGTAGTTGGTGACGGTTCTCATTCTCTTATGAGCCAGAATTATCCAAATAACAATCAGGTTACCAAAAACTGAGACTGCTACCACTGACCCGTAGGCAATAGACCACAGACCTATTTGCCAAGACGGTTGAATAAATTGATTCGACATGTTTCCCGTTATGTTAAAGGATCCGTTTATTGACGATGACATTTTAAAGATTGTTTCTGAATGCACTTTGTTGTAATAATAATAATAATAATAATAATAATAATAATAATATGATGCTAGAGAGAACAGTTACTAAGCAGCTAGCACAGTAACCAAACAGATTTATACCGCTGTTACAGTAGGCGCTGAGCTATATACTGTATCTCTAAGTACTGTAACTCAACTATGAAGAATCGGCAGGCTCCGGTAGGCAGTCTTTGGGATGAATCCCAATAAGGTGCAGCATTGTGACAGAACAGACTTCTGAACAGCATTTTCTAAAGGCTGAGTTAGACTCATCCCTTCAGAAAACGTCACTAAATGCAAATAGCAGACGCTGTTTGCCTGCAATATCACCCCCCATTTAAATGAAGCCAAACGGTAATTCAAGTTCGAATAGCGCACTTCAAAACGAGCTTTTCGCAATACTTTTTCGTTAGTATATTTTTTATCAAGAGTAACAATCCCTTTAATGCTAAATCGCCGTCACAATGTTTCAAATGCATGAATATGCTCAAGCCAACTTTCGAATAATGAAAGCACAACCCCTATTTAAAGCTGGGATAAAAAGGTCCCTAGGGCAAAGCACTCCATAGAGGCAGCTGTATAAATCTATTTAACCCTAATCGAAGTACTGCACGTGTAACATTGGAAAAAAGAAACATCCAGTTATGTGCAAACAAACGCTGTATCGTCACGACCTCACGAATTAGACAAATGATCAGTCCTGCGTGCATACGTCCACAAATGCATTACAGACCTAGTATTTTTACCTGTTAATGATTTAAGTCATGTTATTTCACTACATCGTAAATCTATAAAGGGTGGCGTGTTTGTTTTTTCTAGTGGCTGCTAGACCATACCAAATGCTATGCTAACTATAACAGCTAAATTTGCGTTCTCATTTCAGATAAAATCGCATTTGTGATCTTTGACATAATTAATCCACTTACTGGTGGACGTTAGAAATATTGCATTTATTGACTGTGGAGAAAATATTTCCCGTCCCACTCCCCCTTTCAAAGTTTGCTTTTAAAGTCGTTCCATTCAGTTATTACAATGCACTCAAAGAAAAATATTTCCATTACAATCCGCCTGCCTTTAGCCATCAGTTCTGAGTTTGCTGCATGCCTAAAACTTTCATGCAGGATTAGTATTGGTGGTAATAGTGAGGACACATTTTTAAGTACCAGTTGTCAAATACTGTTCCACTTAAGACACGGTTTTTCCAGAATTCAGGTAAATTGTAGATGCTTAAGTTACTGTAAATATCAGTCTGTGCCACCTTACCTGATTGCTCCCATAATGTACTGTATGTGCTAGTTTTGAAGCATTGTTTACATTATTATTAATAATAAGCAATTATTTAATATATTAACTGTACTTTTAAAATGTGGATTTGTATGCAGACTACAGTACCTGTAACCCAGTGTGTTCATTCTCACCTTTCACCTTTGTATTTACTAAATGATAAAAATAGAGAGTGCACAGCTACTGTAGAAGCCCCAAACCTGGGACCAAAAAGTAATTTAGTGATAGTGATTTTTGCGTATCTTTTTTTCAATGGATTCCAGAGATTATGGTCACACTCAGATAGTCTTTCCTACTTCTTAAATGGAGGTACGGTACAATAGTCTAACACCCTTTGCTTAAAGTATGTACTGTAATTAGGAGTCACTCTTGAAAGTTTAAGAGTGGAAGATTCATGACATACTGTAGAGTAGGGCTGAAGAATTATTTGGCCTAGGAATGAGCATTTCACATGGAACTGACAACCCCCATTAGTGAGAATCTTTAAATACTCCCCAGGAGATCCTTAAAATATTTTGGAACTTTATTAAACATCAAAAATGTTATCTGCGGCCCTAAATTACTGTCATCAATCTGAAAAAATCTTTAATTAAAATCTTGATTTGCTTTAAATAAGTACATGATGTGAATTCCCCCGTGGGCTTAGTATAACATATTGATTGCGATCAGAATCAACAAGTCAGAGTTTAATTCTGATTTTTTATCTGTGAAATGTTATGCTTGTAAATCTTGATGTAACACTTGAGTATCTAGTGCAAAGTAAATCAAGTGAAAGCTTCTGCTAGTATTACTCAATTTACTGCTATTTGTCAGTCTCCCCTTCATAACCATGTCTTAATCGTTATCATCCTCATTAACCAAACATACTGTATACAGCAGTGTTCGTTACAGTTCTGCGGTAATACTACTACTACTACTAATGATAATAGCTTACACTGATATAGCACTTTTCTGGACATTCTACTGAAAATACTTTACAGAAAACAAGGACTCTCCAATGTGAAGCCCCACCTGGATAATGTGACAGCAGTGCTAGTGCACCAGCACACTTACCACACATCAGTGAGGAGGAGAGCATAATAATCAAAGCCACTGAGAAATCTGGCCAGGACAAACACCCCTACTGTTTTTAAGAAATGCCCTGGATTTTTAATGACTACAGAGAGTCAGGACCTCAGTTTTAGATCTCATTCAAAGAACATCGCCTTTTTATAGTATAGTGTCCCAGTCACTATACTGGGGCATTAGGACCCACACAGACCACAGGGTGAGCGCCCCCTACTAGTCCACTAACACCACTTTCAGTAGTAACCTTAGTTTTTCCCAGGAGGTCTCCCATCTACAGTAGGTACTGACCAGACTCATACCTGCTGAGATTCAATGGGTTGTCAGTTATGAGTTGCAGGGTGATATGGCTACTAGAAAGAAATTTGTGCCTTTGTGGCAGCAGGGGGATAAAGTCCAGCAGAGGCAATTTCATAATTTCTGTTTTCATTTTCAACTCCTACTCTTACTCATTGTTCCAGACTAACCCTTCTGATTACAAAAACAAGAAAGCTTAAACTTCAATGTCTCTGTTTCTTCTCACAGCACCAGAACTCTTTTGACTCTACATCTTATTTTCTCTGCTGTCTCCTTACAACACATTCCTCTGTATAAAAGAAAAGTCATTCTTACAGAAAACTCACACCTGTGGCTTGTTAAAATCTTTAGACCAGATCCAGGAATTCTGGACTCTGATGGTAAATCATCCATCTCCCTTTTCTCCTGCTCTGCCACAAAATGAATGAATGAGTGAGTGGATTAATGAAAGAACATTGGTGTTGAAGTGCAAATAACTAATAGTTTAGTGCTCTTTTTACTATTGATTAATTCAATAAAAGCCTTCATATTGGGAGAAATTTCACACTTAGCTAACGAAAAACTGCTTACCTTACTTTAATATGCAGTACTAATTCATTTTATGGAATGCATGAATCGTTAATAAATAGATTGGAAAACACGGCATTCAGTCTTTTATACCGTATAACCTGTCTTAATTTAATAGATTTGCAGAGAGATGCCTGAGATTTATGTCAAGTTCGTGTTTTGCCAAAATGCTCTCCACAAATCTATTCAGCAAAGCCTTGCTTAGCGCCGAGGATGTATTTCAGAGAAAAGATCAGCGCCAACAGAGGCCACTATAGCACTGGTTCAATAGAGATTCATACCATGAGTGCTGTTTTTTTATGAATGGTGTGAAGGCTTCATGTGAGTACCAGTAATGGCATTACTGATATTTTAACCTACTGTAGCTATTTTTACCATCCTGTGACATATCTCGGCCTGTGGTTGTCCTGGAAAACCAGAGCATTCTCATGAATGCTCAATTTTTTTGGAAAAACTTGCCACTGTGACCGGACCTTCTTTTGGCCAGTCCTGCTAATTCCACTAACAATCAGGACTCTAATTATTCCATCATTCCTTCTTCCCATTTAAATTCCTGAAGCACCTCTGATGTGGCGCTTCTTCACCCCTATTTACTTCAATTTACCAATAATGCTGCCAACACACCTTCCATCCCTCTGTCTGGCTGTTCCTCTTGGGCTGACTCTTGTCTTCCTGAAGATGCTTTCACTGTTTCAGCAGTCCCTCCCTATCTGTCTCACTCTCGTCATAAACCTGACATCATCTCTGAGCATTTGTCCAGGTTTGCAGAGCTCTTTGCAGACTGCCCTTACTCCACAGCTTTAACGCTGCAGTTCATTCTCGCCTGGAACCTCCAATTTCTTTCCAGCTGCTTCATTCTCCACTCCTTTCCCGAGCTGCTTTAATCACCTGGACTCCCTGAGCTCATCTCAGACTGTCTCTACCCTGTTCCTGGAGTAGCTGTTACTGTCCTATCCTGCACTCACTGTGGACTGCTTTCTCTTCTCCATCTGATATTAGATATTAGGGTCTTATCTCAAGCTGCCTAGGCCTCGCTCCTACAGTAACTAACTGTTTGTCCAATGCACCACTTACCTTATCTTTTGCTTTCCAGGGTCCCATCAGGGCCTTCCTTATTTCTGGGATTCTGTTCCCTGGGATCTGTCTGGGAGCTCTGTCCATGACTGTGTCCAGGGCACTTTCAGGCCACTGTGAGAGGAGTGGAGATTGGGAGACAGCTCGAACCCTGTCTCAGTGGTCTACGCCCATGCAGGCCTAGTCTTGGGAGGAGGCTCCCTGTATAGAGTCTGCTAGATCCACCTACTTCTCTCACATCATTGAAAATCACCAAAACAATCCCAGACATCTTTTC